TTCCTTCTTTTACACTAGTAAAACTAGTGTATTACTTTTACTCTCCCTTCTCATTCCCCTCTTAAAATCATTCTTCCCTCTCACACCCACCTCCAGCTCCTTTCATTTAATTCATTCAATACTCTATGAAGCCATTAAAGTTGTGAAGGCACATGTCATGTTTTTTCTCCCCTATTAAAATATTAGTGCTGTATCATTAAACAACCCTTTCCAATTGCTCAAAAATGTTTACTTTTCTTGGTTTATTTTGAATCTTGTATTGTAAAGTTCCTATTTAACTTTTGTTGTCCTTGTAACATAAGTGCTTGAAAGTCTTCTCTTCCATTAAAAATACTTTTTTTTCCACTTTAGGATTATCAGGATTAGTTTTGCAGAGTAAGTTATTTTTGGTTGAAAGCCTTTATGTTTGGCCTTCTGGAATATCGTATTCCAAGATGTTCTTTCATTTTAAGTAGAAGCTGCCAGGTCATGTGTAGTCCTAACTGTGGTTTGTTGGTACTTGTAATGCTTCTTTCTGGATGCTTATAGTATTCTTTCTTTGACAAAGGAGCTCTGGATTTTGGCAATGAAACAAGTATTTTTCCTTGGGTTTTTTTTTTCAGGAGGTGATCAGTGGATTTTATCTTTATTTTCCCTTTTGGATCAAATATATCTGGGAAGCTTTCATTTATAATTTCTTAAAATGTAGTGCCAGATTTGTTTTTTAATTCATGGTTTTCAGGAAGCCCAGTAATTCTTAAATTCTTTTGGTAGCTTGTTTTCTAGGTCAGTTATTTTTTATATCAGATATTTTATATTCTCTTCTAATGTTTAAATCTTTGATTAATATTTGTTTCATAGATTCACTGATTTCTCTTTGGTTTAATTTAGTTTTTGTAGAGTCTGTTGCTTGGGTTAGGTTTATCACTTTCTCTTCTAAGCTATTTTTTCTCCTCCCAATTCTTTTCTCTACCAATTTTTTTAAAAAAAAATCTCTTGCTTAGTTTCTTCTAGACATCAGTGTAGTCCTCGTGGAAAATACATTTTCCCCCCTGAGTCTTTGCTTACAGTCTTAGCATTATACTGTTCTATGTTGGGTTTTTGTGCATTTCTGGAACTGTAATCATTTTTTTTCAAGATTCTTTAGTTTCCTTATAGTAGTGGTATTTTTCTAAAGGTTTTTTTTTTATCTCTTTAGCTTCAGTTTCTGAACTGGGGCTTTGTGTCACGGTCTGCCTCTGCTTCTTGCTGTGCTTGTGGGTGGGGTGATTGGCCCTACTTTTCCTTGCTGTGGGCTTTCTGAGTTCTTATACTGACCTCCACCTTCAGGGCCACCCCCACCCACTTCTTTGAGGTTCAGAGTGCTGAATCTTCAGGGCCTTCAATGGCATCTTTTCTTGGCCTGTCCCAGGCCAAGGATAAAGGGTCTTCATTTATGAGTACTGCCATGGTACTGGTTGCTGGCCCTCCCCCAGGCCTTTCAAAGTCTACTTCTATAGGTAACTGACCTCTCTTGGGCTTTCTGACTACCCTGGGGCTTTATCCAGGGAGCTTTATCCATTCTTATTGCCTCCAGAGATAAAGCCTTGCAGTATTCACTGGCTCATTTCTGTTTGCCCTGGGAAGGCACAGAGTGTTAGATGTAGAGTCATTAATACCTAGATTCAAATGATGACTTTGATATTTATTAGCTCTGTGACTATGGGCAAGTAACTTAACCCTTCTAAGCTTTACTTTTCTCATTTATAAAATGGGGATAATAATACCAGGAATACCAACCTCAGAGAGCCATTGTGAGACCCAAATGAAACAGTATATGTTAAATGCTATATAAAAGTTACTATGATTATTGTTCCATATCATAGTGTGACATGGCACTATGCATTATATCACTTAGTGCCTTATAGGTTCGTCTGTTCTGAGGTGAAAGTGACCTTAGATGTCATCTAATCCAGGAGGTTACATGATACAAGGTCATACAAGTAGTAAGTTGAGTTGTTTGAAATGTAGGGCTTGGCTTCAGCTCTAGTGCTCTTTCCTCCTATTCCTGTTGTCTATGTGACAATTAGATTATTAGATACCCAAGAGCAGGACCTTGTTGTACTCATATTCCACAAAGTGCATAGCACATAGTAGATATTAAATATATATTTCATTAGAGTTGTGAGGGGGAGGGAATAAGCTTTTCTAAAGAGTCTACTATGTGCCAGGTACTATGCTGAGGACTTTTTTCCTTTTTTACAAATTTATCTCTTATCTATCTAACATAGAATATTAGATCTGAGAAAAATCCTTGAAGATGAACAAGTCCAGTCTTAAAAAAAAGGAAAGTCAGGCCCAGAGACTTGCTCTAGAGCATACAGCTAGATAATGGTATAGAATAAGCCTAGAATAATGTTCTATGTCTGTGAATAATGGAACACCACAATCTCTGAAGAATCTAAGTTGCAGGTGATTGAAAAGGCAATGGAGAGGTGTGTGATAAGCGTGTTAATAAACAAGGATTGCACAAAAAGTAGTGTACAAGATATTATTAAGGAAATAGGCTGCTCGTGATTCAAGTTTGAGATACGTTAAAGGACCTGGAGAAAGACCTTCAGGGCACCTGTGGAAGACTGATGGGAGGGACCACAGGAGAACGCTAGAATGGATTGTAATCTTTGCAGTTTGATGTCTTCCCCGCAATGGTGAGATCATGTATATATAGCTTTGATAAGTATGGCCATAACATAGCTAGGCTCTCCTTCAGGGAAGAATTAGTACTATTGCAGAAAATGAGGAAAGATAAAAAATTTCTTGATATTGCTTGTTCAGGCAAAGAAGATTTGTAAAAATGAACTCCTACCCTTTATAGGCATCTAAATGCCTGTATTTTCTCTTCTCATTAGAATGTAGATCTATTGGCAATTCTGCAATTCTGGATATTTATAATTCTCTTAGTAAATGGTTTTGAGAACTGAGGATACTAAAATGTAAAATTGCTTAAGCATTCTTGTTCCCAGTTCTCATCACAATGGGAAAAATAAGATCTCTCTCTTGTATTCCAGTCAGACAAGATAACTTCTTGGCCATTATTGTGATGCAATACAAATGTAAGTTCCTTGAGGTCAGAAATAATTTTGTTTTCGTCTTTGTATGGCCAGCATATAGAAGATGGCATGTAGTAGATGCTTAAGACATGATTGTTGATTCATTGGTGGGATCAGCAAGAGAGGTTAGTTATGAGGGTCTCTTTTAAAGAAGCGAACCAAAGGTACTTGGACATTCACTTACTTGAAAGGAGGTGGAGGAAGGTGGCTGAGCTTAATCATTTTCCCTAACATCCTCTCCAGCTTTATGATTCTGTGATTTCCATTCTTGGCCATTGTTGTTCTAGAAGGACCTTTTTCCTATTAGTAGTTTTATTGGGTGGCTGTGTCCTACTCCAACAGAGAGGAGGAGAGAACAGGAGAAAGTGATATTTCATCCAATGGTCCTATTTCATCCTCTCCTTATCTGACCTCCTTGAAAAGTCTGGAGTCTAAAATTAAAAACTCTTCTCCATCTGCCTAACTGTGTAACAGCTGAGCAATATGAGATCAAGGGCCATATTAGTTAAACAGGAGCTCAAACTGACATTATAGAGAAAGGACACTTCCATTCAGAGAAGGGAGTATACTCCAGAGAAGGTGACGGAAGTTTTTTGAGTGACAATGATGACTTTTACCCAATGAATTCCCTAATGGGATTGAATTCTTCGCTTCCCTTTTCCTGTGGAACTAGTTATCACTCTACCCCTGCAATGATGCAAACACAGGAATTCTCTCATGTTTGTGGTAATTACAGTATGTAAATTGTTTTTATTTTGCACCTTGGAATGAATGTCTCTTTCTCTTTTAATTTTGACTTGGATAACTTCTCTAATTTTGCTAGCCATTTCTCTGAGGGCGAAATGTATGTTATGTTTTCTTAGATCCAAACTTGGGCACAAAATGCATTTGAGTAGAATATGTTAATCAAAATCAATCTTGGAAATAGCTATGAGTCTACCCACCTAGGCTAAGTAATGATTTGTTTATAGTAAAGAGAGGAATGCTAAGTGTACATTCTATGTATAAAGTTTTGGCTAGTGATATTTGGAAATTTTTAAAATAAAAATTTAGGTGCTTCATGACTAATTAGAGTTGTATAGAATTTCATGTCTAAAAACCTGTGGAAATGAGGGGTACTTTTCACTCTATAGTTATCACATATAGAAGCAAGACAAATTCCATCTAGCACAATTATGACTGGATAAGAGGAGACTAAGAAAAGAGTGATTTTTTTTTCCTGAAAATCCCCAGTGGAGGGCCTCAGATCTTAGCCATGACAATGCATTTATATATATATATATATATATATATATATATATATATATATATATATATATATGTATATAAAATATTTTAACCATATGTAATGGCCAGGAAACATTAGGAATGCTATGTATCATGTGATAAAAATACAATTTTAAAAGGGTTTTTCAATAATTTTTTACTGAGATTGCTGAAGAGTTACTTACCTGTGTCATTTCTTTGTGTCTATAAAGGACAATCTCTCTGGGCCTCAGTTTCCTCTTTTGAAATGAAGGAGTTAGAGTAAATGGTTACTAAGGTCCCTATAGCTTTAAATTTATAATCTCTATGCTACATTTATATAATTCATTATATAGGTTGTTTTTTTTTAATGATTTTGGTTAAAAAAACAGAAGAAAACCTATTTTTTATAGTTACATGGATTGTTTGATACTCGTTTGCTACTTGAAATAACAATGAAGTCATTGAACAAAATTTAAGGCTACTCCTTTGGTTTTTATTTTTGTGGGGAAATGGAAAACATCGTTTCTTAAACACAGGTTGTGATATCACCATTTGTCTCCATGACCATTAACTTATTCTTTCCAGCCTTAATAGGAGAGTGAATTCTCAACATTGCTTTTAGGCTTTTGCCCAAAAAGTAAAATATGAAAAATTACTGACACCTATTTCCTCTTTTCATTACAGCCAAGAGGCAGGAGAAATCAAAGGGCGTGACTATGCTATGATTTACAAATCAGAGACAAAAAGAGATGAAAACCATACTCCAGACAGTAACTTAATCAGACTCACAAGCAAGATGTTAAAAATGAAGAGGCTGGAAGGCATAAATACACATTACAATAGTAACCTGTTGGAGAAAATGGCTTATTTTCAGTGTGTAGAAAAACCTGAGACTGTACAGTGTTTTTTGAAGGAAAACACCAATGAACTTGATTCAGGAGCTGAAGAGAATGAGGTAAAGTGCTTCATTATTCTACTTTACTCCCATGAAAGTAATATCAATTTTACATTTCTCTTTTAATGTATAATATTTTCATTTAACTCATTCATTTAAAATAATAACCATTACAATTTTGTTTTGATATAAGGAGTTAATAAGAATGAAATATTAAACCTCATTTAATTAAAAATTCCAAGTTGAAATAATAGGATTAGGCTTTTGATAAAGTAAGAAATAAGCCTTTGAGATCACCTTGAAATGACCACCTTATACAAATTATAACTAATGCTGTTCAGTTAATGAAAGGGGGGGGAAAGTTCTTTTGCATTCATATATTAAAAGAAAAATATTGAAAACAATGCCTGTGTTTTTCCTTTCAACCCAAAATTCAAAAAGAGACAGACAGAAAGGATTCATAAATATAAGTTGAATTAGATTTTCCTTCTATGGGGTCCTCCAGCTTTGGGTGAAGAATTGTGAATTGTAATTTCCCTAAAGCCTTGAAACTGCATGGGGATTGAGGAAAGATAGAGAGATAATAAAAATTTTTAAGCACAGTGGGAATGAGGGATGCCATTTCTACAGAATCATTTCTGCAAGGAATTCTGGGAAATAGAGATTGGGCTAGAGATATAGTGACCATATTTTCTGAACCCAAAATTGGAAAACAGGACTTACAAAGACTGTTCCTTTTGAAATGCTTCATTAAAAGTACACTTTCTTAAATCATCTCAGTCTCAGAGAACTGGTAAGGAATTTATCTTCCACTGCGCTATAGATAAGATAAGGGATAGAATATAGTATATATTGTGAGATGTGTCTGTTCTGTTGGTTGGCCTTGCTTGAATGTTTTTCTTTATTACAAGAAAGGATTCATTGGTGGGAGAGGGAGGGAATCTTTTTCAAGACCCATTCTTTAAACAAAAAAAAAAATAAAAAAAAGAAAGAAATTGGGATTGTACCCTAGGTATAGAAGAAAAAGGACTTCTGCAGGTGATAACTAGCTTGAACCTCTATCAGATGATCAATCAATCATCAAGCATTTGTTAAGTGTTTACTATGGGCCAGGCACTGAACCAAGCTCTTGAGATACCAAGGCAAAATGAAACAGTTTCCTGTCCTTAAAGAACTTACATTCTAACAGGAGAGAGAACAGAAATAAATGAATGTGTACAAAACAGAGATTTAGTAGAAACAAGGTAACCTTAGAGAGGGTGGCCCTAGCTTCTGAGGGGACAGAAAAAGGCTTCCTTCCAGAGTTGGCACTCGAGCTCAGTCTTAAAGGAAGTCGAACATTCCAGCAAGGCAGAGCAGGTACAGCTTTGAGATCTACCGGCTGATCCAGAGCTACCAAAGGACTTCAATATTACCTAATATTTCTTTCTAGATGTTCATTTTGTACTACTCTTCATCTCCAAGATGAAATGTTTCAGTTATGACAATGGCAAAGCAAGGCAGCAAATATTTATTAAGCTCTTGCAATGTGCCAGACACTATGCTTGCTAAGCACTAGGGATACCAATATAAGCAAAAAGAAAGACAGTCTCTGCCCTCAAGGAGCTTACAGTCTAATGGGAGAAGATAAATGGGGACAGAGGAGCCAGGGTGGAAGGAAGGTACCGTCATGGGGCCATGATGGTGAAGTGCAAAGAGTCAAAACTACACACAATGGGAAGGGAACGAAACATAATGCACATTTATTAAGAACTTCTGCTGTACAAAATAAAATGAATTATTTTGTCCTTTAAAAGGAGAGAGAGTCTCTTTTATGCAATCTTAAATTATGAAATGCTGAGATTGTAACTCAGAGTAATCTGATTAGCAAAGGCTAAAAGATGAAGGCTTTGTTTTGGCTATGAAAATATCTCCCTATAGAAGGTATCCATGGAAACCACTTTTGGGATGACTAATCACATTTCCTGAAGTGGGGATGTGAAGAATAGCCTTGTCCTGGGTGCATGTTTATCTACTGAGGGTGATTAATGGAGACATGGCTATTCTAGATCTGAGACTCATTAGTGGACATGACTCTTAAAAGGGATCCATGAGATCTTGTAGGAAGACCAGAGACTGGAGAAAAACTACACACAAAACTTGGACTTGGGTTCCTGGGGAATAACAACCACTGTATCTAGGTCTCCCCAGTGAACCTCTGGATCACAGGGATGGCAGGTGAGAAGAGGCAGTGGCAGAGGAAGCCCCCAACCAAAGAACTTTTGGAGACAGCTTACTACAAAGAAAAACAACTGCCATCTGGCCCTAGAGCCAGAAGACAAGGTATTGAGCCACAATGTGGAGGAGAAAACCTAGACATTTGTCTCCACTATGACTATGAGTTATGTGAACTGTACAGAGTTAAGTGTGGATTCCTAAGTCCAAGTTTGTTTACCTTTGGGGGAAAGCTAGAGTTCTTAAGTACTACATGGGGCTCTGAGGAAGGAAGACCTGACCAGAATTGGGGAGAGTCAGGAAAAGAAGGAGAGAGTTGTTTTGACTAACTGTAGCTTAATAATTGCTTGTTGATGATTAATTGATTCATAGGCTTAGATAGGAATCTTTTGTATTACGTACTTTCTGTGGGGCTAAATAAAGATTGTCCAAATTCTATACGTGGAAGGCTGAGGACCCTTTTACTTTTTCTTTTTTTTTTTTCTATAGAGCCAAATTCTGAAGTTCTAAGGGTAAACTCTTAGGGGAAATAAACCAAAAACTAATTTAGGGAACACCTCCTCAAGACTGAACACAGCCCATTAAACCAAGGACTTCAGCTACTGGCTACAAGTTAACCTTCCACTTCCTTCTCCTCGAAAAATAAATCACGTTTTTATCCCCCCCTACTTTGTCTAGGGTTACATATGAGAGATGGAATATGTAATCTAGGATTTATTACACCAAATTAAGGTATAGAGAATTTAAATTTGGTCTTAGAAAATACTGCAGAATTTAGTCTTTGTTTATAAAAGTCTACTTTTAATCCTAGCACCCCAAAAAGAACTAATAGGCCTTGGCTAGCTGTAACTTAGATATCTATACTCTAAAGCTTCAGAACAATAAGAGTTTCTGTGAAACAGAAAGATTAATTGGTTCTCTTTCTGATGACCCTTGACTGAGAAACACCATTGAGGGAAATAATGAACCAAGCACTGATGAAAAGGTTATCATCTGCTATTGTCAAAATGACAATATGTTAATAAAGTCATAATTTGGGAGAGAAGAGTCATTTGAATCTATAATTTAATTGGTGTGGGGAACTCCCGGTCTGGAAAATCCCTTTCACTAGTGCAGAGATCAGTAACTAGTCTGTAACTCAGGGAGTTGCCTGAAGTACTGGGAGATTAACTTCCTGATGATCACACAGCTTTTCTTGTGCCAGAGGCAGAATTTGAACCCAGGTCTTCCTGACTTTAAGGCTGGCCTTTTCTCCACTACATCATGAAAGTATTATTGTCCTCATTTTAGAGAAATGAGGCTTGTTTTGTTCTAAGTTGTGTGCAATGCCACTTGGCAGGGAAAGCTTAATTTTGATTCTCACTGGTACTCAAACATTTAACTACCATTAAATCAAGAATATTGTATTCCTCTAGATGGCGCCATCTACTGTGCTAAATTTCTATGTTTTAAAAAGATGCGTTTGCTTTGAAAAGCAAACGTCTTGAATTCCCTTTTCCTTCATTATGACAGATTTCCCCCCCCACACACACACACACTTATCATAGGATCAGAAATCTAGAGCTGGGACGAACCTAGGCAGAGTTCTTCTACTTTAAATCCAATATTTTATAGACACTAAAACTGAAGCCCAGAGAAATCCTGTGACTTGTGCAAGGCTGCACACAGATAGCAAGGAGGGTCAGGATTCACACTTAGATCCTTGGAATCCTGGAAGAATTGTGCATCCAGATTAAGGAGATACTAGTCCTATTTGTAGTACTTATTTAGTGGTTTACTGTGTTTGTGATCTCAGCCGTGTGAGCCCTCCTTCCCCATGCATTCAGATGCATGCTCTTCCCACTTTCCACCTGGTAAGATTCTTGTCAATTACCTTTTGCCATGATCCTACGCAGAGGGGAGAAAGGAGATGTGCTAGAGTCCTTCCTTTGAATCTCTTAATACTTTAAAGGTATCTGTGTAGCAGATGAGCATCTTCTTGTTATACCTCAATCTGACTTCTTAGCTGTTCCATCTTTGTGACTAGTCATCTATAGCTTGATAATTTCTTTTATTGCCATTTCTTGGCAAGTCAATTGTTTGTAATATGATGCTGCCTACCTACTACCACCATGCATTTTTCTATTACTGTTTGATTCACCTGCAGTTTTTGATTCTTCTCATAACTGTACTGTTTTATGATAGAATAGCTATCATCCAGCACAATATTGGTGCTGGAAAAAATGAGTTTATGTAGCATTGATCAAGTTGATAGCATTTCAAGTACCTTGTAATTTGTTAAGTGTGACCCAGGCTTATCTTTTATTTAAATGTGTTTATCCTAGCCATTATCTAACATTTTCTGATGATTCCCAGTACTAGACAAGATGTGATTATTGGGATTTGGGATGAATTCAATTCCTACCTTCAAGGAGTTTCTAGTCTAGTATTCTCTGAGAAGCTGTGAGATGTTGATTTACGGTTTAATTCAATAGTCTGATACCCTTCTATTCAATTCTTATTCCAGTGCATTGTATATTTGCAATGCCTGTCCACCATATGTGTACTGATAAACTAACCCAATTGACTTCCCATCCAAATACGTGTCATAATGCTGAACAATATTGCAATCTTCATCTACTTTGTTCTTCCAGTGTGGATGCTTAGACTGATTTTCTGAGTAAATGTGGATCTAACTAAGGATTCCTTATGGCATTCCAGAGCTTGATGTAGTCAGCATAATGCTTTCTTCAAATAGCAGCATCTGGAGAATATTTCTATAGGAAATCTCTTTAAGACTTTGGATGTTTCCTAGGATAGCCCCCATGAAATGGCTAAACATCTTTGATATATATATGTGTTGATAC